ACTGGTGAGGGGCCGTGGGGCTGGGGGTAGAAGGCCCGGGTTTGCACTCTGCGGCACTGCGGAGCACACACCAGGATGTCAGTTAGGTTCTTGGAGCAGGTGCACCTGTGCTGTTTTCTGGCGTTCCTCTGAGAAGCAACAGATCACAGGATGGACAGGTCAGCGAGAGCCAGTGCTGCCTTCATTCCTGCTCCACTGTGACACACGGTGGCCCTTCTGTGGGTGCCTGAGCCTCCTGCCCAGTCCCATTCAAACAGGTGCCTGGCGCCCACCAGGCCACCAGGCTAAGCTCGTAATGAATGCAAATTGGGGATACAAGGGCTTCCTGGCAGAAGCCTCCGCCAACGAGGAATCAATTACCGTTGCTTTGCCCACCGCACAAGGGCCTTTTCATTTCGGAAGTGCTGCACGACAAGTCGTGATTCCAAATGACTGTAATCTCTTTAATTGGATGTTAACGCTACGTTAGCTGAAACACGGAGCGCGGGCACGCGAGCCCCTGCCGGGGGTCTTCCTCTAGGGTGCCCATGGCCGGCGGCTCTCCCAGCGCCTGCTCTCCCCAGGGTCCGTCCACAGGTGCACCCCCCAGGGCCTGAGGAGGCTGCGGGGAGCATTGGCTTGTACCTTCTGTGATGTGCACCACCCTGGCCAGGCAGCTGACGCCCCCTCCTGCGCAGGGAGCTACACAGAGGATCCCCGAGGTTCTGCGGGCTCACGTGGGGCTCACGCACGCATCACTGCTGAGTTTGTAGACACATCTCAGCCGGCTCGCCCTGAGCCAGCACCGGGTGCCTCCCCTCCCACCACCACCATTTACCCCGGGGCACCCTGGGCGGAACCCACAGGATTGAGGCGCAGTCTCCCCTTAGCACAGATCCCACTGCTCTGCTTCTCCTGCTGAGTTGTCCCTTTGTCACAAACTTCCCGCTTGGGGGTGTGTGTCATTATTTCCCTCCTGCTGCTATTTGAATGTCCTTAAACCCAGAACAGAAACCCACTCTGAGGAGGACGCCATGCACCCACCCCAGTCACACGTGGGTGCCCAGTTCCACGCACCCCACCTCCTTCCCAGTCTTCAGTGAAGTCAGGGTTTGGGTGTCACTGCCCCTTCCCCATCTCCCCTGGGTGCCCCTGCGTCAAGGGCAGGCTGCCTCTCCCCCAGCCCCCTGCAGCACCCAGTCTTGCTCTGCTCTCCTCCCCCTGCCCCACACCCTGCACCCCTCCAGGCCTGGCCTGTTGTCGCCTCCCCGGGGTCACCTGGGCAGCCTCTCCTGATCTGACCCCCCCACCCCGGGCACAGTCGGTGGCTTTCACAGCGCCACAGGCTCTGCTTGGAGGCCCAGATCTCGGCCACAGCAGACCTCTGCATGCTGCCCACCATCCTGCCCTGCCCAGCCGGGGTCCTTCTCGACCTTGTAACCCACAGGTATGGGGCAGTCAGTCTCAGGGAAACCCCGCTACCTGTGCCCGTGCCTCCCACTAAACATTTCACCACCACCATCAGGGCATCCGAGGTGAGGCCGCAGCGGGCGCTCGAGTGGCTCGGAACAAACCTCCCTGTAGGGACTGGGGTGGACTGAGGGCCTGGCCTCACCTCCTTGGAGATTCCTTGCATCTCATTCCCTGGGGAAGACCAGACAGCTGGTGGGAGTCCAGAGCGGGGACAGCCTCGGGGCCCCTTCCCCGCCACCTCTGCTTCTGTGATAGGAAGATGGGGGGGTGCAGGGGGCGGCAGCCTAGGGGAGGGGAAGGGGGAGGCAGGACCGGCTACAGCCCCTGGGGCCAGAACTGCTCTTGCTGAGGCCACGCCTCCCCTCACTTCGGGCAGGGCCTCCACGGGTGTAGACGGGGAAGGAGCCTGCTGACCACCAAGAAAGGGCCAGGCCTGCTACCCACAGCTGCCGGGCTCTTCCCCCACACCGGTCCCAGACCCCACTCGGCCTTGGCTTCCCTGCCGTGGGCGAGCTGCTGGGTTAGGTGGGCCTTGGGGGGAGCCTGGGGCCCATCATGGTTGCCTTGCCTTGGTGTTCTGGAGAGCTGCGTGGCTGGCTGTCCTTAGCATTTTAGTCTCTAGTCTCACTTCCTCCGTGACACTGTGCTCACCTGGAGGTGTGACACAGCCTGGCCAGGGTCCTCGTTTCTCACTCACACGTGTTTACATCACGGCCAGGAGACCAGATGCGAGGCCATGGAAGGCCTGACCATACACGTTATTGTCCTGCCCCGGAACGCCCTGCAGAGGCCAGCTGCACAGGCGGGAGACCTCCCAGGGTTGGAGAACGCGGACTTGACTGACTCCTGCTCTGGAAATCTGCAGAGGCCGAGCGCGGGCAGCTCTGCCGTCCATCAAAGGCTCTCGAAGCCGAACCCCTCTGAGGTAAAGGCAGGACCCAGCCTCTTGTCCATCTCCCGCATCCCAAAGTGACCTCACCTGCACTTATCAAAAGACACTCACGGACATGAGGGAGTGACACGGCTGGCCCGACAAGGTTCTAACCACCGGACTCAGGGAGCCACTTGCTTCCACAGTAGAGAGGAAGCTTGATGGCTGGTATTGTCCAGAGGTGATTGTGTAGGGAATTCCAGGCCTGGGCAGGAGGTAACTGCCACGTGCGTGGACCCCAGACCCACTGGAGCCCCCCTGGCCGTCACAGATTGCCTAGAGAGCACAGCATCACCCACCAATCAGAGGAAGGTCACAAGCCCGCAGAGAGGCAGCAGGTGACGGCTCAGGTGCTGGAGCCCTGCACTCCTGTGGGGACCTGGAGGGAGTTCCGGGTTCCTGGCTTCAGCTGGCCCAACCCTGATTCCTGAAGGCACTGGGGAAGTGAAGCAGCAGATGGAAGAGACTTATCCCTCCCTGTTCCTCTGTCACTCTGCCTTTCAAGTAGATGGGAAAATTTTTAAAAATTTTATGGAAAAAGTGAATTAAAACATAAGTTTATTTTCATGCAAAAAGTTTTGAAATCCGGGGCCAGTGCTGTGACGTGGAGGGTAAAGCTGCCGTCTGCAGTGATGGCATCCCACATGGGCGCTGGTTCTAGTCCTGGCTGTTCCACTTCCGATCCAGTTCCCTGCTAATGTGCCTGGGAAAGCAGTGGAAGATGGCCCAAGTGCTTGGGCCCCTGCACCCATGTGGGAGACCTGGAGGAAGCTCCTGGCTCCTGGCTTTGGCCTGGCCCAGCCCAGGATGTTGCAGCCATCTGGGGAGTGAACTAGTGGATGGAAGACACCTCTCTCTCTCTCTCTCTCTCTGCCTCTCTGTAACTCTGACTTTCAAATATAAATCTTTGAAAAAGTTTGAAATCCATACAGTTATTTAACAATGCAATTTTTATTAACTTTTTGGAGACTCTCCATATGCAAGGATTTCAAAGAACTTTTGCATCAAAATAAGCTTATTTTTTAATTCGATTTTCCATGAATTTTTTCAAGCACCCTTGTGTGCGTGTAGGTGCACATGCATGCATGTTCGTCAGGATACTTGGGAAACGGAAGGAAAGGATAACGTGCATTTTCCATAAACTTTTCAAGACCCCTCATATGTTCAGTCCATCAGAAGAGGGAAGGGAGTGGGCGTGGCCAGCTCTGCAGGGGCCCTGTCAGGGATGGACTGAGACAGAAAACCTCTCACCTCCACCTGCACTTGAGCTGCCTGGCCTCAGGAGGCCACAGCCTGGTCCCTGGCACCTGTGAGTGTATCGCCCTGCCCGACACATGCAATGCAGCCTGCACACGTGACGGATGACACGGGTCAGGAGAGAAGATTTCTCCCGGAAGCCACCAGCATGGAGCCCATCTGGGGCGGGGGGGGGGGGGGGCACTGTTCCTGCTGAGGTCAGGGAAGTGGGTGAAGACAGGGCAGGAGGGATGCAGAGGGTGAGAGGGACCTGATCGGCGGTTCCTGGCTTTGAAGAGGAAGGGGCAGGAGCAGAGCCCCCAGAGCTGACAGCAGCCCCCTGCTGAGGGGCGGAAAAGGACCAGGACCTCGGTCCCTCGCCCATGACTTTGGTCCGTCAGCTGCAGAAGCCTGCGCCAGGCTCTCCCGAGAGCACTCGGATCCCAGAGGAGAGCGAGAGGTGGGGCCACACAGCTGCGTGGCGACGCAGGACGTTATTTTCAGCCGTGATGTGCATGGCTATGTCTCACAGCGGCCGCAGGCTCCCTGTGGAAGCAGTGGCCTGGGCCTCAGGGCCGCCAAGCCCCCAGGTGTGGGAAGAGTACGCACGCAGAGGCTGCGGCTGCGTTCAAAAGCCGGCCAGGGGACAACTCTGGCTCTGTCCCACGCGGGGGAGCTGCGGGGGCTGAACACAGGAGCGCGCCCACTCCATCTCCCCTCCGCACGCCTCCTGCCTGCTGCGGGCCTCTCTGGCAAGGTCAGCCCGTGCTGCCGCGCGCACTTCCGGCAGCAGCGCCTGTCTGTTCCCTTCCTGGGGACCGCGGCACCCTGGGGTCTGTGTTCCACGCTGTGCACGGCCAACCACAGTAACTAGCAGACCCACGTGGTACCAAGGAAGGTTCTGGAACAGCACACCTGTCACACACACTGTCACGGGAAGAAGCCCCCCGCCCCCCACGCTGTGCAGCTGAGTCCCTCACCCCTGTCCTGATCATCGGCCTCGTTAGCCAACTACTGACTGCACACAGGTGTCTGTAAACCATGGGGACCATCTGCCCATCAAAGTGACAGCAGACGGGGCCCCGCCTGATGAGCACACAGCCGCCCTGATGAGCACACAGCGATGCTAGCTTCCGGGGGTGGCCATGCGTCCACGCCTGGCTTTCTGGCTAACGCGCACCCTGATTTACCGGAGGCCGAGTCGCTCACGGAGCCAAGTGCTGGGCTTCCATCCCTCATGCAGCTGAATCTTGTTCTCTGGCTGCCTTACAGAATGGAAGCCAACAAGAGCCCTGGGCAAAGGCGAGGACGTGAGACCGTGGGAGGTCAGACCGCACCGCCCACAGCAGCGACGGAGAAACGCGGCCGCCGGGAAGGATATCTGGCAGGGCTGTCCTTCAGGGCATTTAGGAATCCTGTTTGCTGGGAACCTGCGGGAGCGAAACCGGGATTTAGTGTTGGACATCCAGCTGCAGGACGGACAGGCTCCTGCTGACAGCTCTCACTGGCTACAAAGCACGGGTCTCTAAAGCTCGGGGAAATGACAGCCTTGCTGCGGCTCCCAGCTGACGGATCAGAGCCTGCGGTCCCACTAGTCACTCACCAAGATGGCAGCTTCGTGCTAGGCCCAACACCTGCAGCACAGTTCCCCAGAAGTCACTGTTCTGAGGGCTCCTCTGTTTTCCTCATTCCATAGGAAAACAACACTGTGCACTTTCTTTTTCCATTTCCCCCTCAGTTTGCTACTCTCTGACCCCGGATGGCTTAGAAGTGAGGCAACCTGTCAAAGGCTTCTCTCTGCTCCTTGAGTAAACTGAGTCATGAGTTCAAGTCCGTTCCTGGCTCCTTCTGGGCTTCAGACATTTTAATGTGAGCGGTGTGTGCCCAAGGAAACGCTTCTTTAGGGCTTGCGTTCAGGAGCGTGTGACAAACAGCGATTCTTGCTGTGGGTCTGGACGGTGCACGTCCCGTCTCAGGGTGGCCCCGTGGGTCCCCCTGTGCCCTACGAGGCCTGGGGCTTCTGGGGACGGAGTGGGGCCCTCTTGCATTGTGCACGTGTGTGGTTTCTGACTGCTGCTCGGGGTCCTGTCCCGCTGTAGGAAGTGAAGCGGGGCGGGGCGGGGGGAATGGCTCGGCCCCTGCCGCCCCCCTACAGGGGCACATCTGGCCACACGGTGGGACAAGGGGCAGGGGGGGGTTGGGTCAAGAGCTACAGAGGATGGATGGGTGCTCGGGGCCTCCTTCTGCCTCTCTGTGAGGCTGGCAGGGTGCCGCCAGCACGCGGACGTGCTGCAGGGTTGTGGAGCAAATGCAATCTTGAGGCAAAACGACATTAAGAGAAGGGGTCTCTCTCCACTGTACTCACACCTGCCGCTTGCCTGCCCTCTCCTTCCTCCACGGGGAAACGCTGAGGCCATAAGACCCCGCCCCGCCCCGCCCCCACCTCAGCTCCTCAGACCTGCCTTCCACACTCAGAACCTGTGACCTGGCAAGGGAAGCAGGCGTGGGTGTGCATGTGTGCAAAGGTGTGTGAGAACAAGTGTAGGTGTATGAGTGTGTGTGTGAGACAGAGACTGTTAGTGTGTGTGCGCGTGTGTGTTCCCTGGCTTTCTGTGGGGGACCGGGCAAGTGAGAACTGGCTCCTGACACCCGGAACGCAGTGGCAAGGCCACCAGTCCCATGGGATGGCGCCCTGGGAGCACGTGTGGTTGTGAAAGATGACGCAGACACGCAGCGGGTAACTGCGCCTTCTCAGTGGCCCGCAGCGGGCGAGCATCTGCACTTCTCCAGCTGTGTCAACACTGCTTCCTTTAAGTGACGTGGGACAGCCTACGGACGCACAGACGGGGCCCTGGCTCCAGTCCTGCCACTTCCGGACTCTGACGTTGGGGGCCCGGGTGCCTCAGCCCCGGGGTTGGGGAGCAAAGCCCACCAAGGCACTGGCCCAGCACACACCTGCATGGTGTCACGAATGCGAGTCCCATGTGGACAGGTTACCGTCAGGGAGAATGGGACCTGGGAGTGATGTCCCTCTGGAAATGGGAGTCAGCCATTTCACGTCCAGAAGGCACTGATGTGAAACATGCCTGCACCTCCCACTCCCCCAGCCCACACGTGAGCCCCTCTGGCGCTCAGCACCCTCCACTGGTGGTTTGGGCGCAGCCGCAAGGGGAGGGAGGGAGATTTTGCTCAGATTCTCCCGGAACGGATCCAGAAAGGGGCTGTGCTCTCGCCAGTGGGTGGCCACCTGGCAGGAGTGTGGACCAGACGTAAAGCCAGCCTCTGCTGCGGCTAGTGGCCCTGTGATGGCTCAAGCCAGTTAACTTCCTTCTCATCACTCCATCATAGGAAAGTGGATGACCAATGGATAAAACAAATTCAGAGCTGTGGCCTTGAGAACGGGGAAGGACAAAAAGCCATTGCTTAGGCAGATACATGTAAAAACCATTCGTAGTCAGATCTGATGTGCTGGGGCTGGTTTACGCATAGCCCAGCACATAAGGGAACACGTTTTTACTCTATGGAGGTGCGTGCACAAGAAAACCCTGTCTTTACCCCCATCCTTTTCCTGAGAAGGGGTAGCCCTGTGCGAGTAGCTGCCACTTTAAGGACAACACACTCTGCTACTCCATGGTGGTCACTGAGGCTCGGGTGCACTGTGCGTGATGTGGGGACGGCTCTTCTCAGGGTCCCTGTGCAGAAGGCATGGGCACGGGTGTCACGGGCAAAGTCTGGTGAGCGGAGTGAAACCTGGTCCAGGTGTGACCCTGGACAGTGATGCTGCAGGGGGTGGTGGGGGGTGGGGCGGGGGGGCGGGGAGGTGAAGGGGGATGAAGGTGAGAAGTGAAACAGGGCTGGGCCGGAAGTGAGGAGGTGGAAAAGGTGAGAGACGGGGAGAGAGGAGAAAGAGAGAGCCCGAAATGACCAAAATAGTAAACCAAAATTAAACCAGGAAAGCAAAGTCAGGCCAATGGTTACATACGAAATCTGATTTCGCAGCATACTTACGAAGAATGACGTGGGTGATAACGAATGCAAATATAAAGACTGTCAGAAAAGACAGGGATAAAATAAACATATAAAAAAATCTGTAGTTTCTTTTCCCCACACAGTTGCCTACCCAGGGACAGTGGTGATCAAACCGTTCTGAAAGAGAGACAGAAAAAAAAAAAAAAAAAAGAAGTGGAAATCAGTTAATCAAGTGGGTTTTAACTTGAGGGAGCCCCTCCCGCCCAGCCAACACGCGGCACTGTCACACAACGAGATCCTACTGTGTGCTTCCTTCAGAGCATGCGCCAAGCGGGCACTCCGAGAGTGGAAGTACTCTCCAACACACTAAACTAAAAGCAGGCGTTCACCTCCAGGGTGAGGTGGGGAAACAGGAGGACAGGTTCTCATTAGAATCAGAAAGGTGAACACGTTTCTCTTTCCTACAGCACAGAGCCAGCTCCACGGGATGCTGAGGGCTGGGCTGGGCTGGCACCGGGTGACGGGTGACGGGTGATTGTCTCCCACCCCCAGGGGCCACAGAGAGAGCTCACAGGGGGCCTGGGACGGGACACAGGGACAATTTTTTGTTCTCCCATTCCGGTTACCAATGTATCACATACATTAATCACACATAGTAATACAGTTGGTTTCCAACATTCCTGCGAGGAAAAGGATGACACTGCCCTGTTTTGCAGATGAGCACGACTGAGGTGTAGGGAGATGGGAGACTGGCCAGCTCGGAGGCAGTGCAGCCAGAACTTGAGCCCAGGTGTCTGGGGGCTGCCGCCGGCTCCTGGTGCACAAGCACCCTGCAATGCCCGAGTGCCAGGCAGGGCACTGTCGCGCCACGGTACCTGAGGTGCCACCCCAGGGCTGCTCACCTTGGGGAGTCCACACAAGGTCTGTAATGCATTCGTGAGCTGCTTTCGCCCTTGCAAGAGAAAGCAAAGGGCTTCTCCCTACTGCTCTGCGGATCTGTTCAGAGCGACTGTTCAGGGTTATCCTACCCCGCTCTGTCCTGCACCACAGGGGTGGGGTGGGTACATGGGGCACGAAACTCAGCTTTGTCCTGGGGCTCTTGACCAAGCTCACCTTCTACTCGGTTTTTCATTATCATCTATCTCTACGTGCTTGCAAACACATGGAGAAGGCTGTGTGAGATGTGACTATATAAATACAAACATCATAAAGCCAACCCGTCTCGGGTTTGATGTCAAATGCCAGCTTGCTTCTTGACAAGGGCCTGCGGACATGTCGGGGGCAGGACGACACAAGAACTGGAAGAATCCCCTTGGTGCAGCCATCTGAGCTGGGGCTCAAGGAGGAAGTTCCGAGCTTGCCAGCTGGGCGAGTAACTGCTATGGGTGTAGTCAGGGGAGTTACAGGCTAAGCTGCCAGCTCCACAGAGCTGGAAAACTAATCCTTGGATAAAGCCCACTTCCCTGGGGTGGGGAGAGAGGGCAGTGACACACTGGGGCGACACTTTCGTGACAGACTCACATCATGATGGTCCTATCCAGGGCAGGCCATGGGCTCTGGGTGTTCACCAAGTGGCGGCAGGTGTGCCCACCCTGGTGGGCAGCCAGGCAGGTGGGGGAGGCCATGTGGGGACTCTCCGTGTCCTCACAGCTGGGCCGGGAACCCACCACTGCTCTAAAAACAACCTCGCAGTGCAAACAGCAGCAGAGCCCTTGTCTCCCCCCGGCACTGATCTACAGTCTGTACGGTGAGATGGCTGTACCAAGGGCGACAAGAGGAAGCAAACCGGAACCAGCCAGGCTTCTCGTGGACTCTTCACTGTGAGGACAGAACACGGGGATGAGAGCGTTGGTCCCCGCTGGGAACGCTCACCTCTAGATCCTGCAGGTGGTGGGGGCTGAACCCTGAGCTGTGGTGAGATCACTTCCCACCCAAGAAGGAGGCGGGACTGGGCAGCAGCATATGCACCAGGACCACCCCACCTGGACACGGAGGCCTGGCAGCTCCTGTAGGCCATTTCCACCGCCTCACACACCTGCTGCTGCCCCTCTCACACACCCCTCACACACCTGCTGCTGCCCTGCCCTGCACATACCTGCTCATGCACCTGCTGCTGCACTGCCCCTCACACACCCCTCACACACCTTCTGCTGCCCCCTCACACACCCCCTCACACACCTGCTGCTGCCCTCCTCACACACCCCTCACACACCTGCTGCTGCCCTCCTCACACACCCCTCACACACCTGCTGCTGCCCTCCTCACACACCCCCTCACACACCTGCTGCTGCCCTCAGAACACACCCCCTCACACACCTTCTGCTGCCCCGCCCCTCACACACCCTCACACACCTGCTGCTGCCCTCCTCACACACCCTCACACCCCTGCTGCTGCCCCGCCCCCTCACACACCCTCACACACCTGCTGCTGCCCCCTCACACACCCCTCACACACCTGCTGCTGCCCCCTCACACACCTGCTGCTGCCCCCTCACACACCCTCACACACCTGCTGCTGCACTGCCCCTCACACACCCCTCACACACCTTCTGCTGCCCCGCCCCTCACACACCCTCACACACCTGCTGCTGCCCTCCTCACACACCCCTCACACACCTTCTGCTGCCCCCTCACACACCCTCACACACCTGCTGCTGCCCCGCCCCTCACACACCCTCACACACCTGCTGCTGCCCCCTCACACACCCTCACACACCTGCTGCTGCACTGCCCCTCACACACCCTCACACACCTTCTGCTGCCCCGCCCCTCACACACCCTCACACACCTGCTGCTGCCCTCCTCACACACCCCTCACACACCTGCTGCTGCCCCGCCCCTCACACACCCTCACACACCTGCTGCTGCCCCGCCCCTCACACACCCTCACACACCTGCTGCTGCCCTCCTCACACACCCCTCACACACCTTCTGCTGCCCCCTCACACACCCTCACACACCTGCTGCTGCCCTCCTCACACACCCTCACACACCTGCTGCTGCCCTCCTCACACACCCCTCACACACCTTCTGCTGCCCCCTCACACACCCCTCACACACCTTCTGCTGCCCCGCCCCTCACACACCCTCACACACCTGCTGCTGCCCTCCTCACACACCCCTCCACACACCTTCTGCTGCCCCCTCACACACCCTCACACACCTGCTGCTGCCCTCCTCACACACCCCTCACACACCTGCTGCTGCCCCCCTCACACACCCTCACACACCTGCTGCTGCCCTCCTCACACACCCCTCACACACCTGCTGCTGCCACGCCCCTCACACACCCTCACACACCTGCTGCTGCCCCCTCACACACCCTCACACACCTGTTGCTGCCCCGCCCCTCACACACCCCTCACACACCTGCTGCTGTCCCGCCCCTCACACACCCCTCACACACCTGCTGCTGCCCCCTCACACACCCCTCACACACCTGCTGCTGCCCCCTCACACACCCTCACACACCTGCTGCTGCCCCCTCACACCCCTCACACACCTGCTGCTGCACTGCCCCTCACACACCCTCACACACCTGTTGCTGCCCCGCCCCTCACACACCCTCACACCCCTGCTGCTGCCCCCTCACACACCCCTCACACACCTGCTGCTGCCCTGCCCCTCACACACCCTCACACCCCTGCTGCTGCCCCCTCACACACCCTCACACACCTGCTGCTGCACTGCCCCTCACACACCCTCACACACCTGCTGCTGCCCCGCCCCTCACACACCCTCACACCCCTGCTGCTGCCCCCTCACACACCCTCACACACCTGCTGCTGCCCCGCCCCTCACACACCTCCTCACACACCTGCTGCTGCCCCGCCCCTCACACACCCCTCACACCCCTGCTGCTGCCCCCTCACACACCCTCACACACCTGCTGCTGCCCTGCCCCTCACACACCCCTCACACACCTGCTGCTGCCCCGCCCCTCACACACCCTCACACACCTTCTGCTGCCCCCTCACACACCTTCTGCTGCCCTGCCCCTCACACACCCTCACACACCTGCTGCTGTCCCGCCCCTCACACCTCCTCACACACCTGCTGCTGCCCCCTCACACCCCTCACACACCTGCTGCTGCCCCGCCCTCCTCACACACCCTCACACACCTGCTGCCGCTCCACCCCTCACACCTCACACACCTGCTGCTGCCCCGCCCCTCACACACCTCCTCACACACCTGCTGCTGCCCTCCCTCTCCTGCCCCACAGTCTGCAGGCTGCCTGCTCTGCACTTTCCTCTCTGCAGAGACTGCCTATTGTGGCACCAGGCTTAGCCTTCATCTCCTTCTCCAGAGTCTCTTGTTGGTGATCTCTGCTTTCCATGGTTCGAATGCCAACTGCCCCCCGATGTCACCAAAATGGCCGTCTCCCACCTTAAGCACCAGGCATCCACTGCCCAGCCTGATGGGCATCTCAAATGGACCTGGTCCCAAAGAGACCTTCCCACCACCCCTCCCTATACACCTGCCTCTTCTGACTCCCTGAAGCCCAGGCAGGTGTTGTTCTTGACCCTGTTCTTCCATTAGCCCCACATCCAACCAAGGAGAAGTCCTGTTGGCCCTGCCCTGGCGACGTCTACAAACTTCTTACTTATTTTCCACTTGGTTTTGTCTTCCGTCTTTGCCTAAGCGTAACACACATCTGTCAAAAGACTGGACAAACTCTCCCACCACCAGGACCCCAATGTGAGTCAGCCACCCAAGGCCACACGATCAGGGAGCCACAGAGCTGGGATGGCGACCCAGGGCTCCACGTGTCCACATCGGAGGCTGCCGCCCCACTGCCTGTCTTGAGCGGTGCCTGCCTGCATCACACCATCTCTAGGAAACAGCAGCACCATCAGACCCGCGGCTGCCAGGAGTTCCTGATCTTGTTGGGGAGGACGCTATTCCTCCACTCCAAAACTTTCCCTGACCCGAGGACTGAACCCCTGGTTAACCTCATTTAGCTTCTACGCCAGCCTGCTCAGTCCTGCGGCTGCCAGCATAGAGCATTCTTCCTTTATGGTTCAGGTGAAAACGGGCCCCAGAAACTGGTGCTGTAAGGCCACCCTCCTGCCCCAAGTGTGCTCAGAGGAGTGGCCCTGTGAGTTTGGGCAGGGTACCTGTGCCACTCAGTTTCCAGGGTAGAGACGTGGGCAGGAACTGGACATGAATGGAGTC